GGTCGAACGGAGCCATTCCCTAGGTATTATTCCAGTTCTATATATTGTGTTAAATAGATCTAGGAGTATTTTAATAGATTCATCGTCCATAAGTTTGAGCAGTTCTACGGGAATTTCATCAGGACCGGGAGCCTTACCACTTTTTGCTTGTTTGATTGCATATTCTATTTCTTCTCTGATTATATCAGGCCCTGTAATCATCTGTATATTCGTTTGAGATTTCTTGTCTATCTTTGTCATCAAACAGTTGTGATATGTATTCTGTCCATCGGTTCATTTTTTGTTGTAAATCTGTTATAATTATACCATCTGTATGATCTGTCCTGTCTGTGATTGTTCTTCTCCTTCCTGTCATTCTTTAATCTTTGTGTGTACATTAAAAAAGTCATATTTTCGCTCCAATTGTTCCAACTCCTGGCATTGCTACTTAGCCATCTTTCTCTAGCTTCTCTTATTTTCTTTTTTTTTATCAGTTTATCTGTTTCTTTGTGTCTTATCGGATTATTTGTTTTGTGTACCCTTCTTTCACGCATCAACTGTAGTATTTCAATGGAAAGCACACAACTGGAAGCAAGTGGCGCAAAATAGAAGACACTGGATTGATTTGGGGAAGTCCTATGTCCAAAGTTGGATTACTTAAGGCTGAAGAAGAAAGAGAAGAATAATATCAAAGCGCAAGGATTAACTTTGTTGGTTTATTTATACAAAAAAAAAACTGTATATAACAAAACGGAAAACTTGACCTAAAAGTATAATAATGTTATAAAGAAACGAAACGAAGAAAATTATTATTTTTTTTCTTTTTTACATAGAAAGGTGCTAAGTGCCTACCTATTTTCCTTCAGTAACATAACGAAATATATCATTATTTTGCATGTTAGTGTTTTCAGCAGAGTCTGCTTGTGCAGTTTCAACTAGTACTAGTAAATTTTGGTAGAACTGTTGGTGCTGAGATTGTTGAAGTATGATTGAGGTTGATTAAGGCTCTTTTCTTGTTCGCTGATACGTTGTTTTAGAGCTCCAATATCACTTATTAATTTTTTTATTACAAATTCTGAAAATGAATGGGTGATTTTAATGTTTATATGATTCTTTTTCAAAACGTATCTAACTGATTTGCTAAGTTTTAATTAGTTGCTTAGTTTTATTTAGCACGAATGCTTTCATAGTGTTTTTCCTTTTTTTTTATTTAGGACAAAATCCCGTTCACAAGGCATGAGACTGTGGCTGCTTACCAAAAATCTTTGCTCGATATATCGTATACACCATTAGAAACCAAAAACATTACCAAATAATGAGGTCCTTCTTGTTAGTAAAGCTATATTGAAGAAACGTAGCAGGCACGACGCAATTTCGTTTGCGCCACGTCCCGAGAATCATTCGTGCCACAGGAACATGGAGGCATTATTTGTGTCCCATACATATATTCAAAAGTTGAAACAGGAGAGCTGTGACAAGTAGAACATATCTGAGTGAACTAACGTTAGCACAAATATGAGCTTGTCCATACCATGGATAAGCAGCAAACCTTGCTATCAGGTTGTTGTGAATCTATTGTATCTTGCTTGAGTAGCTCTCTGGCCTTTTGCGACTTTTCTTTGGTAAAGTTCTAGCTCACATTTTGACTGATGACTACTACCTTTCTTATTATTAATTGATAATTTAACATTATTAACATGAAATTATGATTATTGTTGTTATTACTTAAACGTATCGTTTCAGGAACAAAATATAATTTTACTATAATAAATATAATATACGTTTATCCAAATCAATAAGTATTACATTAATTTACAATTTCAATTTCAGTTTACTTACAGTAACATAAACGTAAAAAAAGTCTTTAAAGCATTAACATGCTTGTTGACTTAATCTGTCTAATATTAACAGGTTTAATGTTTTTTTTACAAATTATTATTTCATTTTTACAGTTTCTAATCTAATCTAATTTGTTTCGTTTTTTTTTATCTAGTATAATTTAAATTTATTAAATTGTTACACAACTCCCTTTTTTCTTTTACCCAAGCATTAACTAATTTTTTATACAAATAAAAATTTTTGATATTTTTAAAATTTATGGGCAATTGATTGTATATTCTTGGAGCAAAATATTTAATTGACCGTTGCGTGATTGTTTTTGAAGTGTGAAGACATTCAACATTCAATTTTCTTCTTGTTTCATAATTTGACACTTTTACTTTAAGAGGTATTTTATCTTTATGAATATTTTTAAGTAGCTCTAAGCAGTACAATTGCCGAACATCAAGAACCTGAGTTTCATGAAAAAGTTGGTCTGAGGGATATGTTTTTCGTTTTCCATATATTAGTTTAAGAAACCATTTCTGAGTATTTTGAAGGGTCACCAGATGGCAATCAGCTACGCCACCCCATCCTAAAATCCCATATACAAGATGAGATTGTACTAAAGACAGGTAAAGCATTTTAAGCTGTTCAACATCTAAAAACTCTTTTAAATAGCGGAATTTTGGTAACAGTCCTCGTATTTTTCTTATAATATTTTTTATTTGTAAGTCCCATTTAAGGTGCCTGTCAATTAAAACTCCTAAATATTTTATGTATTCTGCTTTAAATATTTGTTGTTTTTTATTTATTTTTAATGAGTTAAAAGTTGGCAGAGAATTTTTATATATTGCAAAAGGTATATATTTAGTTTTTTCGTAATTTATTGTGAGTTTATTTATTTGCAACCATGTTTTTATAACTTTGAAGTCTTGTTCAACTATAGTTTTAAGATCTTCCCAATTTTCGGCCTTATAAAAAATTGCGGTGTCATCAGCAAAGCTTATTATGTTTCCATCAGTTTTTAGTTTAAGCATGTCATTAACATAGAGTGTAAAGAGTAGAGGGCCTAAAACGGTCCCTTGCGGTACGCCATAATTAATTACTTCAGGATCACTTTCGACACCATCAATTTCTACAAATTGTTTTCTGTCTGTTAAGTAACTTTTTAGTAATGTCAAAACGCGTCCTCTCAGACCATACTTCTCAAGTTTCTCTAACAAGATCCCGTGAGATATCGTGTCAAACGCCTTAGAGAGATCGACAAATATGCATAAACTACGTTTATTAGACTCAAAAGCTTCTGATATTTGTGATGTTAGTTTACAAATAGCATCTTGTGTAGATTTTCTTTCTCTAAAACCGTATTGACAATCCGATATTATACTAAACCTATCCAAAAAACTCACTAATCTATTTTTTAAAATTTTTTCAAATATTTTGGAAAAAACAGACAACAAAGATACTGGTCTGTAATTAATCACGTCTTCTTTATTTCCTTTTTTAAACAGAGGTTTGATTTTGCCTATTTTTAGACATTCTGGAAAACAACCATCCTGAAAACATGCATTAATGAGAAAAGTTAAAGGAGTAATAATTTCTTCCTTAATTTGTTTGATGGTTTCTGTCTTGATCCCATCCCAGCCAGGAGATTTTTTGTGTTTTAAAGATTGTATTGCATTTACCACTTCTTTTTGGTCAACGAGATACAAGTACATGCTGCTTTCTATCCTATCTATGTCCTCAATCTGTTCATTACAAATGGGTATTTTTTGTGCATACCTTTGTCCCAATGTACTGTAATGTGTATTAAATTCATTTGCAATTTCTTTTCTGTCAATTATTTTTTCTCCTGTTTTGGTTTTAATCGATTCAATTTTTGTATTTCCTTTTATTTTTCCACACAATGAATTAATTACATTCCAAAGTGATGAAGAAGAGGTCTTATTTTTTTCAATTCGTTGTTTTGTATAATTTCTTTTTGCAGTTTTAACTAAGTGTCTTAATTTATTTTTATAGTCTGTATATCGTTGTTTTTTTAAGTTATCTGAGGGATCTTGGATTAGCTGATCATACAATCTGTGTTTTTCCTGTACAGACTTTAAAAGTCCCCTGTCATCCAATCTTTTTTAAAAGTGGTTTTTAGATCATTTCCTTTTAAAATAATTGTATTTTTGTTTATTAAATTTAAAATTTTGTCAATGAAAAGTTTTACCGCTTCATTTTTATTTGTTTTATTGTAAATATCCAACCACTTTTCCTGCTTCAAATTGTTTTTTAGATTTTTGTAGTTGATGTACTTCTTTATTATTATTTTGTTTTCTTTGGTTTTGGTTAGATTAGGAATGGAAACTGCGATTGGATAATGATCTGAAGTAGTATTATTTTCAAATATAAATGAAGTTATGTTAGTGTAATCAGCAGGTCTTTTTATAAAGAAATGGTCTATACAAGTTTGACTTCTAGGTCTAGTTGTTTTATTTATATAAGACAAAAAATTTTGTGAAGCTAGAATATTCTGGTATTCTTCAGTGTGATCTAGATCCTCAAACAAATTAATATTGATATCACCAACTAATATATGAAAACACATTCGTTTTTTACTTATGAGGTATTGATGCAAATCCTGATTAAAATTGTTTATGTTTACTATCGGTGATTTATAGATAGCGCTCAAACAGATTTTTGTTTTATTATAATTTAAAATGACTTCAAGTAACTTGATGTTCCCCAATGGTACAACTGAATATTCATATTTTATAGAAGATTTAATGTAAATAATAACTCCATCATTAATTGACTCAGTAGATTGAAATATCAGTTGTTATACTACCGGACAACAGTGTGAGTGGTCATTCTAGCATTTTATATAGATAGATAAAGTGGATAAAATTGAAATATTAGAAGAATTTTTTTGTATTACCAATTAATAAAACAAAATAATTTGTTTACTTTGTGTTTTGCGAACGAATTCCGAAGTGGAAATCTAATTGTCACAATAAACGTATTTTTAATTCAAATCGTGGTTAATTCCCAATAAATAAAGTAGATACTATTCGGTAGTTTGTCATTGCCCTCCAAAAATTGATCTTGACGATACTTTTTGGTTTTCTCTTTGTAGTAATATTAATTAAATACACTGTAAAGCTATGCGTACCATTTTAAAAGAAAAACTAATTAACTAAACTTGAATTTTTTAGATTCCCAGAGATTTTTTGGAAAAACTGGATATGTATGACGTAGATGATATTTTGCTTAACTATATTGACGGTTATGAGGATGACGACCAGACTCCATTGTTTTCAAGTAAGTTTCCATCTTACGCATTTCTATAAAAAAAAAACATAATACGTAATAATAGGATAATTGTGGATTTGTTATGACGAGATATTATAGATTATGGTTTTGACCAACTCGACTGTGACATTTGTGTGAAATAAAATTAAAAGCCAAAGTGATGTCAATCCGCAAAAAAACCAAAAACGTACCTCAACCATGCACAATAAATGGGCACATCTTAGAAACAGGTCAATAGATTTAAGTACCTGGGATGTGTGGATCGATAGCAGCCTAAATCCTGATCAAGAAATAAGATCGAGAATAGAACAGGCTAGAAAACTTTCGAAAAAATAAAAAAACTGCTTTGTGATTCTCGAATAAAACTCGAAATTCGACTACGTTTATCAAAATGCTACGTCTGGTCGACTCTTCTATATGCAGTTGAAACGTGACCCTTAAAACATCAACCGTAAATAAATTGGAGGCCTATGAAATGTGGATCTACCGGAGAATACTCAAAATTTCATGGACATCGCATACCTCAAACGAAGAAGTGCTGCATAGAATAGGCAAGGAAAGAGAACTTTTTAACACAGTAAAAGTAGAAAAACATCATACCTAGGCCACATACTGAGAAATAATAAGTACCAATATGCCCAACTTATAGTGAAAGGAAAAATCGAGGGAAAGAGAGGCCTAGAAGGAAAAGACTATCATGGCTCAGAAACATCCGACAATGGACAAGGCTAAATTATTGAACAGCTAATAAGAACAGCTGAAGATAGAGAAGAGTTTAAAATTGTAGTAGCACTCCATGAGGAGAGGGCACTTTAGAAGAAGAAGAAGATGAGTTCTCCTGTAATAATTGTTAAAGTGTTTGGTCTTGTCTGCGAAGAATATTGTATTACGTGGATAGGCAGAGAGTCTATGACTATATATGACGAGAGATGACGAATGTAAAAATTATCTACAAACGAAGCGTTCACAAATAAGGCAGCCAGAAAGCTCCAGTGAGTACATCAAGTGATAAATCGTAAAAACAGTCGAGAAAGATGTGTATAAAAATCCAAGGCAGTGATTACTAAACTATCATTGTTACTATAAAAGAAGTGTATGTAAGAAAACTTTTCTAACCAACAGTCAATAAGGTGATTGATGATAATCGTCAAAATGATAACTAACACCCGATAACGGATACCGCACTTGAAGAAGAAGAAATTTAGCTTAGCTGGCACAATTGATTTTTATGGTAGACATTACCGTTGTAAAAGTTGATTTATAAATCAACGGCTAACGTAAATTAAAGTTTATTGTTTGTAAATTTTTGACTGTTGAAGATTTCACAATTGTCTAACTACTTTCTTGTCTTTTGCAGGTAGATTTGGATCTGACACACAAGAGAGAAGTAAGTTGGGAAAGAGTGAGTGTCTATTATAATACTAAGCACGTTGCTTGGAGCTTGCCGTCTGTATGTACCCACATGTAGCCTTGCAAATTGTGACTGTTTTGCATTGTATATAGCATCTTGTAAAGAATAAAAATTATCGTGCTAGATATCTCCGCTTGTTTTACAAAATAAAATTGTTATGATACTAGTTACATTATATTCATTATACAGTACGTAAATCTTTCAGCTGGACATAGGTAATATAATTGAGGTAAGTGTGGAAACTGTGATTTCTAAGACACTAAGAGAAAGCCTACAATTAGTACGTGTACCTACGTGTACCCACAATTCCATGGATACACGTGAAGCACTTTTCACCTTAAAAGTCCTACTTCAGAGATGCCGCGATGTCAGTTGTGATGTCTATATTTGTTTTATTGACTACGCCAAGGCATTTGACCGTTGTCAGCACCAGAAATGTTCGTCGCCCTACAAAGAGTAGATTGGATGAGAAGGACATTGGATCATCATGAATTTATCTGGAACCAGCGTGATCAAGTCAAGGTCGAAGACCAACTGACCAACCGAGTGAAGATCATGAGAGGAGTAAGGCAAGGCTGTGTGCTCTCGCCGACTCTTTTCAATAGACACATTTGGAATTTTATTTCCGGAACATAGGACTTTTAATACAATTACTAAGATTCTCTGATTTGCAATTAACCAGTGTAAATTTCTATATAAACTGTAATTAATCTAATTTAATTTGTTCCAAACTGTGATTACCTTCTTCTCCTCAGCGGTTTGTAGTAGCGTATGTGGCACGTCGACAGTGTTTGCTCCGTCTACTGATTTTTGCACATCAAGGATCTGGTATTGTATTAAAAATCCTATGTTCCGTAAATTTTTTTCCAAATCTGTATACTCTGGGGAAATTTCTACTGAAGCCTCACAAACCTAGAGATGGGAATCCGAGTGAACGGTGAATACATCAATAATATCCGCTACCCCGATGAAACTGTGTTACTAGCAACCCGCCTAAATGATCTACAAGCCTTACTAGACCGAGTGAGAACTGTGAGCGTAACATAAGACTAGACCTTAATATTAAGAAAACTACATTCATGGTTGTCAGCCGTGCAAATTTAGATCCTGGGCACTAATGGCAGGTACCGAAGAGATCCAGAGAGTCGACAGATTCACTTACCTCAAAACTACCCTCAACTCACATTGGGACTACGCTAAGAGATTAGATCCAGAATTGAAATGGCACGGTCTACATTTATCAAGTTGAGATCTTTGCTGTGCTGCAGTGATCTCAGTGTGGAAACCAAGATGTGAATAGTGAGGTGCTACATTCTTCCAGTGTTACTATATGGAGTTGAAGCCTGGACACTGACGCACACAGTGCCACAGAAAAGCAGATTGAAGCCTTCGAGATGTGGATCTACATGAGGATACTAAAAATAAAATACAGCACATGAGAAAAGAAAAAAAAAATGCTTAATTTAGTGAAACAACGTAAGCTTGAGTACCTCTGGCACGTGATGCAGAACGAAGAAAAATATCGAATTCTTCAACTTGTTATGCAGGGTAAAGTATTTTGCAGTAGAGGACAGGGACGCTGTCGTATCTCGTGTCGTATATCAACAATACCATGATAACCTTGATTATCGCCAACATCCAGACTGGATAAGGCACTGAAGAAGAAGAAGACTAATAATGTAATACGATATTTGAATTGTACGAGGTGCAAATCAAATACGCCATTTACTAGCACAAAATCGAACACAAATTTAACACCTGATGTTATAACAACAACGATAAACAATGTTTGCAAAACTATTTACATGTTTTAAATAACATTTTTGCCGATTGATTGATCATTTACCTGTTATGCAATTCCCACTAAGATATTATCTAGACTCTTTAATTGTCAATAATCAACAAAAATGTAATACAATGACAAGTATGAATTTCACGGTAGTACTATCTTCGCCGCCGCAGCACATATTTACTTGTCGATAACAGTTTTTAGATAACATGAATCATTTTTCAATGATATGTGTGGATTTAAGAAATTCATCTGGTAAAAGCTTTAATCATAGGAAGTCACGTACCTATATTGCCATAATAGTACGGTAAGATCGGGTAATTACGAAATTTACAGAACGGCAGAAGTACTAAGAGAGACGTGTCTGAGAGAGAGAGAATTAATTTATGATAAAATAATTTAATTCTAAAAAAAATAATAAAATAACCACGCCGCTGTAATTGTATGATTTTCCAACAGGTAGCCTTGAGTCAGAGGGGGCTTAAGAAAGCGCAGTTGCCACACATATCTCAATGTATATTACCTATGTCTACCTGAAAGATTTAAAGATCGGTTTGAAGCTATTTTCTTGTGACATTTTCATATTATATACTATATTTATTGGAAATTAATCACAAACTTTAGTTTAAAATACGTTTATTTTGACGTATCGATTTACACTTCGGAAATTGTTTTATAAAAATCTTTTAAACTAAAATTGTAGTCAATTCCCAGTAAAAACAGTAAATTACACATCGTAATTGCGTATCAAAATTGAAGATACTAAATTTTGACAAATCATAATTGAATTTTAATGACATGCCCAAATGATAGTTGTATTATGGCCAGTCCCACTTGTTTAGAAATTTCTTAGCGCTAAAGAGAGAATAGTAGTACATATAATTTGTAAAAATTCTTCAATACAGGTAGCACTACTTCTCACTCTTACAAAAACATTTTTGTACTCCACTGGAAGACCAAAAATAAGTCAGAAGGATCATCACCATTTCCCGAAATTTAGTGTCAACAATTTCGAAACTAAACTATACTTCGTAAATTTCTAGTTGTTTGTCTCGGTCTTTCCGCATTTACATGTAAGTGTCACAATCATAAGTTATATTTTATTCCTTTTTCTTATAATATTTAAAATCACAATTTTTCTGACCAAAGTTTTCCTTCTTCTGTATATTTTTATTTATCGATCTAATTTTGCGTTCTGATACCTTACAGTTGGATATTAAATATATTTTACCTAAGTACCCCTTTTTCAATATCACCTCTTTTAAGGTCAGTTGTAACCACCACAAATTTATTTTATCCACTAATTAACGTGTTATTTTCGCTTTTATTCCTACAAGCGATGATATCAAATTCATATTAAATATACTACTTTACTTTTGAATTGAATTATTTATCTGTCGGGGGAACATGAGACATGTAGACTTCTTAATTTCTAACGGAGGATAAACAAATATTATTCCTTATTCTTAGGAGGATATTTGGGCAAAAATATGAATTAATAAAACCAATCAATTCTACTGTAATGGTACCACAATTGTAGCGATGTTCATGTTTTAATATTTTATGAGGCCAGTAAAAATTGGACGTTTACCCTTTAGAGAAACTATTTTTGTTCCGACAAAACGAGAAAATTTAAAAATCTTTTAAAAATTGACAAAAAAAACACTTTTATTAACTTCAAAAAAATATACGTTTCTGATGAAGATGACTCTCATTTATTAAAAATACCATAAGTCAAGATGTGACTGCTTTATTTTTAAAACTGTTCTAATGTATTCATATAAGATTTGGGTTCTAGGAAAATGTAACGTTGTCACGTGTACATTGAATTTGAAGTTGTCTACAATGTTGTAGTTTATATCTTTCTCTAACGGCAGATAATATCCGCGATAAACAATTTCGTCGCAGATTAAGGCGATGTAACTAGCAACAACGGCAATGTTCGGGTAGTTCTTTTATTGTATCCTATCTATAGGTCAGTTTCATGACCACACCTGACAGGCGTTTCATTAATCAGAGAACAGAATTATTTGTAATGTTATTAGTGGAAGGCGCTTTTATGACTACTTTTTGTCAATTGTGAATAAAACAATACTCAAATTTAATCCTTGAATCAACCATAAGTTTCTTAATTTAAATAAATAAAGGATTTTTCCCAAAAAATATATTCAACAGGAATAAGTTTTCCTCATATAAACTTCTTCACCTATAAAATAAGAAAATAGTGTTTATGACAATCAATTCGTTCTAAAATCCTGATTATTTTTTAATAATATCCGTACGTCTATAACTCGTCGATTTCCTTTCCCCTCAGAACTACAACGGTCTACATTGAAACTATGACTCACTCGATACAATTGTGGTACTAGGTTCAGTAAAGAGAATGTTTTGTTGATATTAAGACAGTAATGATATTTTTTTCCGCAGAGGCCGGACATATTCCAGCTAAAGCAGGTTGTAAGCCGGAAAACACTACAGTTCCTCTGGTAAATTCAGACGATCCTTCTATTTTGTACATTCCTAAATGTACAAGAATTGAGAGGTGCAATGGGTGCTGTTCACATCGACTACTTGCATGTCAACCTGTTGAAATCGAAACTATTTCTGTACAAGTAAGTAGCACTAAAATAACTTTCAACTATTTAGGTATGGCTACCTGTTTTCTTCAAGTATTGAAGGGCAAGTTAAAAAAATTGGAGCATTGCAGCAAAATCTGTTCTCTGATCAATCTCTGATGCACATACAGTTCATTTTCCTGCTCAGTTCCGCTATTTCTTGAGTGTTGCTTTTTGTTTTGTGGTATGTTGTAGCATATCTCTTCTTGTTTCCACTAATTCTCAGGTTTCCCCTGATATCCAATGTTTGTTCTTTTGGGTTTTACGCGGTTTGAACTATTTTTCTGATAAATGTATCCAGCTTTATATTCCATTTCACGTTTTATTTATATCTTCCAATATTTGTGATTTTTCTTTGGTTATCAGTTTTATCTGGATTTCTTCTGTATTATTTACACTTAGCTGTTTTGTCTGATGTATTTTTCTAGTTGTGCATAGTTTGAGTCTGCAGTTAATTTTTAGCAGTTTAAGATATGACCCACAGTATGCTCCGGGCATAGCTTTTCCATTTAATACTGAAATTTTCCATGTTTTCCGCCCAAGTATGTAGTCGATTTGATTTTTGTGTTCTTTATTTGGACTAGTCCATGTTAAGGGCCTTCTTGGGTGGTGTTTATAAAGTGTATTTGCTATCACTACAAAACTGTAGAAGACGTTCGCCTGTGTGATTTCTAATGCCCAAGCCAAATGACCCGACAAATTCTCATAAATGTCTCCTTGACGTTGAGTATCCAATAATATTATGTACTTACTCCTTTTCTTTAAGATGTTTTCTATGCTGTTGTTTTTTGGGTTTACATGACTGCGGACACTAAATCCACTTGCCAATCTCACAATTTTTACTCATTTATTCATTCAGTCATTGTTTTAATATACAATCATATCCTTAAATCTAATACTAGTATTGATCTCTATATAAAATATCTTTTTTTTGGTAATTTGTTTTCCTACGTTATTATTTTCATATTAGCTGCTTTTTTAGTTATATGTGATAATTGGGGTTTTTTTATTCTATTGTTTCTATGTATGGCTCCTTTTTTTCCTCATTTACAAACTGTTTTAAATCCTTAGATGTAGATAATTTGTGGTTATTTGTTATGAATGTCCTTGATCTCTTGTGTGTTTCGTAGACAAATATTTTATATTTTACTTATTAGCACTTTCTCTACTTGTGAGGTTTTCCAGTTTGTGGAGCAGAGTTTCATTTTCTGTATTCATCGGGGGGGGGGGGGGGGGGGGGGGGGGGGGGGGACTATTAGTTTGAAGCTTCTGTGTTTAGGTTTCTCTTCCAGTTGTCCAGTTTACCACGAGTAGCCGGCTGCTCGCGCGCTCGTGTTCAGTTACCCATTTTTATGCGTCTGCCTGGAATTCAGGACAGCGTTAGTCGGTACCAGACAGCATGACATCTCTACTTTTTGTGTTACGCTATTCATTAATTTGGTGTGTACTCTCAGGAAAATAATCGACTGGGTTTCCCTTGTCTCCCTTATCGCAGTGTTCAGCCCATTTGAATACCCTTTTTGATATCCGGTCCGTGGAGTATATGTTATCAAGCCAACAGCAGGAAACCATTTCATGTATTAGTAAATGATTTAGTAATGACATTAGCTGCTGCCTATTCAATTGCCCTTCACTTGGTCCACGGGTGCTTATTTGTTTGAAACCTCATCTACATGTGGGCCATTTCTTTTATCGTCCCCGAGAGAACTCTTCCGCTGTCCGTTTCTGCGAAGTACAGACGATCCCCTACTTAATTCTGAACTTCTTTCCACGCAAGTTAGGACGAAGTAAAACATCCACAAGATTCTGATAAGAAAACACACACACATCTCTTACCGTGAACAATTATACAAGAAAAATCGATTAGTCAATGGCTATTTTAATTTTTCGTATTTGTGAACTTTTCGTATTTTTTCGTATTTTTGAACGACGTCAGTTTACCTATTTCCTTTCAGTACCCTTTTTCGTCATTAAAGCAAATATTTTCTCAAAGACATTTCAATGAATTGTATAGTCATTATATGTAGGGTATAAATTCTTTTGGGGGTTACTCAATCGTATGATTTATATTTGCAACACATCATTTATCAACTTTTGTTACTTCTATACATTCTCAAACGTTTCCATACATGATTAAATATTAAAAAAATGAATATCGTCAAATCTTTTGATATGGCACCTCATCAATTATAACAATATATGATGATACATAGATTTATGCTTTTTGATTATGACCTTGCAATGTCTCAGGCTCGAGACAATACAGCCATTACGATGTTAAAAACGAAAAAATTCGTAGTTAAAATTATTTGAAACTAAATTGATTTCTTTTTCAGGTGATAAAAGCTCAATATACTGGCGACAAAAAGATGCGATACGTGTCCAAGGAACTCATTCCATTGGAGAGGCATTTAAAATGCAAATGCGACTGTAAAGTAAGGGCAGAGGTAAATAATAGTCATGCTTAAGCATTGTTAATAACTTCATTTTGCTAGCAATGCTTTGTTAATAACGAACATAGAAAAAAACAGCGAAAAAAGTTCAATTTATAGGCACATACTGAAGGGTTGCTAACAAAACTATTCATGTAATCACCTAAGATCTGCGAACAAAGTCCTTGACAAAAATTAGATTTTGGACTAAATATAATTAACAATATAGTATCTACTTAGACGAAGAACAGGACTTAATTACAAAATATGAAAAACCTCATTGTTCAAACTGTAGTTTGAATTTATCAATAAAACATATATTGCTATCCTGCATATCAAATTTATAATAGACAAGAACATAACATATCTCAGAACCTACACACATATACTAGGAAAAATTGTAGTAAAAACTGATGGTAATTTATTATATTGTATGTAACTTATTGTATCGCTGCTAATAACCTACAAGGTTGATGCAGTAAATAAAATAAAAAAAATTGGATGAAGATAAAGACAGAAATATCACAATACGTTGCCTTAACAGCACATTTTGAAATATGCAAATCTCTAACATTGGAGATTTTTGCGGAACCAAATTAATTAGTAAGAATGAACAGCTGGTTTAAGCTACATCCAAGGAAATTGTAAACCTGGAAATCTCCACAGCATTCAGTGGGAAGGATTGTAAGAAATCGGATCGATTACATGCTAGTAAATAAGAGGTATAGGAACAGCTGAACATATGCCAAAACATATCCGGGGGCAGACATAAATTCTGATCATGTACCAGTTGTAGGTAATTTCAAAGCTAGAATAAAGAAGGTTATAAGTAGATGAAGGAGTATGATGTTAAAAAACTGAAAGGTCCCAATGTTCGACTGAAGGTGAGTGAAAACCTCAATACAATAAACAGTGAGAGAAATAAAAGAACAACGTCTGAAGAAAGATACAAAGAAACGGAAATCGTGGATGACCAATGAAATACTTGAACTTCTGGGTCAGAGAAAAAAAGAAAATCTCCAAGAATATAAGAGAATACATATTATCGTCAGAAGAAAGGAAGAGAAGCCAAAAAGAAACAAAAAACAAAACAATGTCAAGAAATAGAGGAGTATCATAGTCGATATGATAACTTCAATGTCCATCGATAGGTGAAGGAAATTGCTAGAAAGTTCCAAAAACACAACAACGAAAAAATAACAGATGATGAAGGCAATCTTACCATAACCAAAAAAGATAAAAAGAAAGTATGGGAAGAATACTTGGAGAAACTTTTCCACGATCTTAGGACAATACAAGAACCCACCATTGAAGAAACTTCAGGTCCCGAAATCCTACCAGAAGAAATGCCGACAGACAGATGAAGGATGGCAAGGCACCGGGACTTGATGAAATTCCTGTAGAACTGCTAAAGCTATTAGATGCAGAACACATAAAAGTAATAACTGAAATATTTAATGAAATATACAAGGCAGGAAAAATACCAGTAGAGTGGCTCAAATCGAAGTTCCTACCACTGCCCAAAAAACCAGGAGCAAAAGTTTATGAAGACTATAGGACCATAAGCCTAATGAGTTATCTGCTGAAGCTGTTTTTAAAATTCATCCACAAAAGAATTTACCGGAAATGCGAGGAACAAATTAAGCCCAATCAGTTTGGATTTGTGAACGCCGTTGGTACGAGGGAAGCTTTATTTAGCGTGCAGGTATTATTTTGAGAAATGTAGAGCTGTCAGCTGAGATGATTTTGCATGCCTTATTGACTACAAGAAGGCTTTCGATAGAGTCAGGCATGAACAAATGATGGAAGTGCTGAAGAGGACAGGGATTGACGGAGGAGACCTAAAAATAAATTAAGTATTAATAATCAGCTGTCGATTAAGAATTACAAATGGCAAAATGGAGTGAGACAGGGTGCATAATTTCACCACTGATATTCAATCTGTACTCGGAGCACATTTTGAAGAGGCTCTAAAAGATGTTGATGAAGGCATCTCAATAAATGGAGTCAAGCTCAATAACCTGCGGTATGCAGATGATACAATAATGTTTTCCAATACCATAGAAAGGCTTCAAAACTTAATGAATAAAATAATAGAAACGAGTAGAATATATGGACTGAATATAAACACCAGCAAAACCAAGCTAAAGATCATCAGCAAGGAAAACATCAAATCCGTATGTGAACCAAATGAGAATTGAACGTGTCTCACAGTACAACTACTTGGGAACTATAATCAATGAGAAATCAAGGCAGATATGAGCTACTCTAATGCATTTTGCAAGGTAAAATTTAAGGAAAAACGGCCCAGGACGAAGAAGAATATCCTGGCTTGCTAACCTGAGAGCACGGTATAGAAAGACCTTAACACAGCTATTTCGTATAGAAACCAATAAAGTCATCATAGCCAAAATGATCGCAGTTCGGAACAGTACAGGCACCATAAGAAGAATAAATCTCTAACGAACACACAAATATTACCTGCAATGGAATGGTTATGCACACAGGCATACAAGTTTAGTAATTTGAATAACCATTTACAAGAACTTGACAACAAAAGATAAAACAAAAATAAAGACACCCAGAAACTAGAGAAGTGTAAGTAAAGATATCAGAGAAAAATATAGTCTTTGAAATGTATACTCTTTGACAAAGTAAATTTACATGATGATTCGATGAAGGTAGTTGTATATATGCTATATTTATCATTCATAATAATTGCTTTCGGCATAAAATAAACGAAGCAACATCCAAATGGCATTATATTAAACGCATTGATATAAGATAGGCGATAAACTTATTTTTTATCTAAGTCTTCAGATTTGTTCTATACTTCATTAACTGTCGAATTTTTTTTATATATATTGCAAGACTTCATTACCATGGTAATTATTAACATGTTTCCAAGAAACCCTTCAAATCTACTGTAATTACCTACCAACCGGATTTTACGGTAATCTTTTGGAGAATTTAAAATTTTTAATAGACAATGTGTCTGCTAACTCTTCGGTACCTATCTTCTTTACAGTCATACCAGCGTTTTTCAGATTTCTAAATGATTTCAGATATCAGCGAAACTACAGAGTAAGATTCCCTGGTGCTTAATGTATGCTAATGATGTAGTGTTAGTAGAAAATACTGTAACAGGACTTTGTACTGTAACAATTTTCTTACTGGAGACAAGAAAAAGGTTTAATTCTTAGTACGACAAGAAACAGTATACATCCCTGTGAAATTTCTTTTCCGACTGTGAAGATCTCGGCCAGGTCATTTTCGAATCGCACTGAATCGCTTTTTTTGGAGATATAAGTTTGAGATTAGTCTTATATCCTTACCATCGATTCCTGAGATTTTTGGGATATTGATTAGTTTCCCATATGTTACTTTGTTTTCTTTCAGAAATTTTATACCTTTCTTGGGCTTCATTTTCTTATGAATTATTTTTAGTCGTATTTTATTGTCCAGAAGACAGCTGCGCCTGGATATGTTTTTGTAGAGGTGATAAAATTTCGAATCTTCTGCAGAATTAAATAAGGCTTTCTGCTCTTTCGTTTCTTGTGCCAAGACCATATTTTCCTACAACATTCTCGACTGTACCTTGACCTATTTTGATCATAAAATCTTAGTTAAGATTAAAATAAGAAGCGTTAAGGTTTTATACCCTGTGATAATTCGTCTTATTTATGCCTTATGTAAAGACCGGTCTTATATTTATTTCATGTGCACTTGTCATTATAGCTTGTCCTAGATGTGATTAGTAAAGCTTTACTTGCATATGATAGTTAACATAAACTTAATACAAAAATATTTTTTAGCATTGCCTCCCAAATCAAGTATACAGAAAGGACGAATGCGATTGTATTTGCACAAACACAGACGAAGAGAACAAATGTTACAGGGACTACGAGAAGAAAGAGTGGGATATCGACACTTGCTCCTGCAAATGTAGAGGAGTATACGAATGCTCAACGGGATCCGTTTACGACCACAATGAATGCAGATGTAAAACCGCGCCAAAGAGAAGATACGCAGCTTTGGAAAGACGAGCACACAATAGAGAGAAGCAACATGTTGATCCTTTAGACCTATAAGTAGATTTTGATTTGTAAAATTATTTAATATATTCATGAAAAGAATATTTTTTTATCTCATCTGAATTCAGAGCTCTTTTCTCTAAAAGTAGTTTTTTGTGAGTTACATACAAAATTATATAAGATGATCCATTAGTGTTAGTAGGAACACAATCACGTATTTTTTAGATTACATTGCTATGTACATACTTACCTATGTCAACTGGACAAATCAATTATTCTTTCCAAATCCAAAATCCGTTATTCCGATTTTGGTAAAAACATTTAAAATTGACGAAGTTATAAGAAAAAGACCTATATAAAGTTTTCTATATTCCTTAATATCAATAACTTATCTTAAATTATACTTCTGAGTTGTAGTAAGATCTGCAACACTTTCCAAACAAACTAATAATTACAACCAAAACCAAATGACAAAATGACCTAAAAATATTAGAATTAAATTAGATAAGAAGGTAATTATTTTATTATGCGAGTCAATGCTTCAACACGTCCACTGCTTGTAAAAAATAGAATCTATCAATTGTTGCCAACTGTTCATTAGACGTGTGTGTTGACAGCTCCAAGCGTTGCCACGTACATTAACAATTTAATATAAGAAATAGTGTAGGAAAGTGTGATCCAATGAAAGTGTCTAGCAAACTTTTGCTGGTTAGAAGTTTCTATGGCAATTTACTGGATGTGCAATGATTTTCTGTCCATAATGAAATAATTTCATGTATTAATAATAATCAAACTACATTTAACGATGCTACGTAGAGAACTGTAAAAATATTTATTATGACCAATCCTCTATAAATACAGCAAATGGCATTTACGATGTGGTTGAGTGACTGCCGTTTGTGTTTGTGTATTCTATATAAACAGACTTGTGCCCACCACTGTTTAATCGCAATGAT